ATGTGAACAGCACAAAAAAAATGTGTAGAGTGAGTATATGTATAATGATTTGCTGATGACTACGACGAGATAGTTAAAACGTTATTAGCATTTTAATTTAAAATAAAGATGTTTGACACAAATTTATATATCTATATAAATAAAAATGGAAATGTTCGTTTGTTCAAAATCGATAATCTCCGAAAGTTCTCCACCGATTGCTTTGAAATTTTCACACAATGTTCCATTCGCATCCGAGCAGGTTTTTATATACATATTACATTGATGTCACGTCTGTGACGGAAAAAACATTTTTTTTTTTTTAAACTGTTTTTCATCTGTTCATCTGAACTTTTCATGTGAGAGAAATCTTCGTAACCTCTACCGAATGCTCTGAAATTTTGACACGTCGTTGCATTCGCATAGGCGCATGTTTCTATATACCTACTATATACATGCCTTACATGTGACCGGAGAAAACAGGTTTTTTGTTTAAATATCGCCATCTGTTGGACGTAAGAGCAACACACGTTGTAATCTCCCAAAGCTCTTCACCGATTGCTTTGAAATTCTGACACAACGTTCCATTCGAATATGCGCATCTTTTTATATACCTGCTATATAGATGCCACACCTGTGACAGGTAAAAACATGCATTTTTTAAAAACAGTGCCATCTGTTGCACATTATAGCAACATGAACGCTATACTAAATATGTCACGAATTCCATTTCAATGTTTCCGATTGCATTGATAAATTTTATTTTATAGATTTCGATTTATTTTATTTTTTATTGAATTATTTTGTGTGACATTGTGTTAGAATTGAGCTGTGTTGTTTACCATACCGTTCATTTCGTAAGTATAGGTATAGATGCCACACCTGTGACAGGTAAAACTATGCATTTCTTGAAAAACAGCGCCATCTGTTGCATGTAAGAGCAACACACATGCTATACTAAATATGTTACAATTCCATTTCAATGTTTCTGATAGCATTGACAAATTGAATTTTCATAGATTTTGATTTATTTTCATTTTGATTTAATTATTTTGTGTGAATTGCGTTGGAATTGAACTGTGTTGTTTACCATGCCGTTTATTTCGTGAATATAGTTTAGTTTTTTACTTTTTCATATTTTCATTTAATTTTTTAACTGTTTTCCTTATATTTCAGTGATGGGAACATCAGATCACTTAATGTTCCCAATTTTCTGATGGGAACATCAAACCATTTGGCAAGGCATCGGAAGAGGGAGTGGGGAATAGTGGGGATGACGAGGGGACGGGGGAGTTTGGAGTAGTGGGGACGAGGGGACGGGGGAGTTTGGAGTAGTGGGGATGACGAGGGGACGGGGGAGTTTGGAGTAGTGGGGACGAGGGGATGGGGGAATGAAGAATGGTGGGGAGGACAAAGAGGGGAGTGGGACATGGTGGGAAGGAAGAGGGGTGGTGGAGTGGGGAATGGTGGGGGGAGGACTGGGGGGACAGGGAAGGTTGCTGTGGCTCAGCTGAGCCATAGCAACGCCTATATACAGAGAGCTTGATATGAAGTGCAGCAGCGAGATGTGTCCCGTCCTAGTTGTGCAGCCCCTTAGCACACCTGTGACAGCCAGGTGTGCGGGCTCAGCACAACTGTGCGGGCTCAGCACGTTTACTGAGCATAATCCACATTCAAATGTAGTGATGTTCCCGCCCCAGGATGACGTCAGTGGAGAGATGGCGGTGTGTGGCGGTGGTGGCGGCGGCGATGGCGGTGACGGCGGCGGCGGCTGCGGCGGCGGTTCCTAGACAAGATGAAGGTGAGGAGAATGTGAAAGTGAAAGTGAATCTGATTATTATAACAATATATAAATAAATATATATATATTTATATATGTGTGTGTGTAAATCACGAAAATTGACGCGCGGTGACAGTGTCCGACCACGAAGGAGGGAGAAAGACAGGAATTTCCTTAAGTACTTTCGTATTTAATAATACGTCTTCAGAAGGATGATTTAATAATATAACTATTTCTGAAGATGTATATTAAATAAATCTAGCGACGAATTTATTGACGTTCTGAGACGGACAGAACCCCCGTGGGATCATGGCTTCCCTTAACGTTGAAAGTCTATTCACTAACGTTCCAATGGACATCGCCCAGGCAGGCATGTTCATGTCGTCCATCATGCAGAGGGAAGAGCTGAGTCGTACTGCAGATACGTCGACGACAGATGTGGAAGGGCTGAACCTCTCTAGTAGGCTTTCTACTGCAGAAACTCCACAAGCTTCGATGTCGACATATTCGTGTGTGTTGACAATGATAACACATTGGAGAGGCTTCGTGGCAAGCTACAAGAATTCTCAGGCTTGAAGTTCACTGTTGAGAAAAGTGAAGGAGGCAGGATTCCATTCCTCGATGTTCTCGTTGACGGTAACTCGGGTAGATTCATCACAGATGTGTACCGTAAACCAACTGATGCAGGAAAATGTATGAACGGTAAGAGTGAATGCACTGACAGGTATAAGAGAAGCGTCATCAATGCATATGTAGGTCGTGCAATACGTACATGCTCTTCTTGGCAGCTCTTGCACCACCAACTTGAACGAATCCGCCAAATTGTTGTGAACAACGATTACAGCAATACAGAATTCGATGAAATCGTTAGTAAGAAGCTAGGCCGCCATCTGACTGAGGATAATCAGGCCCCAGGGGTGGAAAATCAGCCCCCCCCCAAGAGAAGACATTGTAGTGTATTATAAAAATACATTCACTCAGGCATACAAGAAGGATGAGAAGGTGATACGAGACATAATTGACAGGAATTGCAAACCTTGCAGTGAAAACGCCAGGATTCGTCCTGTCATTTATTATAACAACCCTCGTACATCTTCCCTCATTATGAGAAATAACATCTCTGCCTCCTCTGACAAACTGAGGTGTACCAATGTAGTGTATCAATACAAATGCAGCTCTGGAGACTGTGCGCTCCGAAATATATGCTACATTGGACACACAACGAATACATTGAGTAGACGTCTTACACTTCATTTGCAAGACGGAGGTATTAAGCAACATCATTCTCAACAACACCATCCTGAATCGCCAAGACATAGTGAAAGATACGACAATAATCACACGCACCGACGACCGTAGGAGGCTTCGTATACTTGAGGCTGTGTTCATTCGGGAGCTGACACCAGTAATCAACATCCAGATGAATTCGACTTCGAGCATACAGCTGTTCGATGGTCCTCCATTGACCCAGAGGGAAGATGTAAGACCTGGCGGACAACTAGAAGTAAGAGTTATCAAAACAATCACCTCACCGGGAAGGCCTTAGCGGACAGCCCTTAGGCGGAGTGATGGGGTTATATGAACCCTACCCTTCGCTGTCCTGAAAATGTCACATTGCTGACGAAACGTCGAACAATAAAAATGGAAAGATTAAGTGATCTATTGTTTCTTTACCTTCCAGATGGTAGAAAATATTTGGGTAGAATTGAAAATATCCAAAAGAAAATGAATAATAGTCACAATGCTATTGTGATTAATGACATTATATATATATATATATATATATATATATATATATATATATATATATATATATATATATATATATATATATATATATATATATATATATAATCAACACAAGACAGAACAAGACGAAGCAATGGATATTGAATAGAAGTGTTTGTAGAAAGCCTATTGGTCCATATTCTTGATGCTTCTATATTGGAGCGGAGTCTTGAGGTGGGTAGAATATAGTTGTGCAATAATTGGCTGTTGATTGCTGGTGTTGACTTCTTGATGTGTAGTGCCTCGCAAACGTCAAGCCGCCTGCTATCGCTGTATCTATCGATGATTTCTGTGTTGTTTACTAGGATTTCTCTGGCGATGGTTTGGTTGTGGGAAGAGATTATATGTTCCTTAATGGAGCCCTGTTGCTTATGCATCGTTAAACGCCTAGAAAGAGATGTTGTTGTCTTGCCTATATACCGGTTTTTTTGGAGCTTACAGTCCCCAAGTGGGCATTTGAAGGCATAGACGACGTTAGTCTCTTTTAAAGCGTTCTGTTTTGTGTCTGGAGAGTTTCTCATGACGCTTTAAAAGAGACTAACGTCGTCTATGCCTTCAAATGCCCACTTGGGGACTGTAAGCTCCAAAAAACCCAGTATATAGGCAAGACAACAACTTCTCTTTCTAGGCGTTTAACGATGCATAAGCAACAGGGCTCCATTAAGGAACATATAATCTCTTCCCACAACCAAACCATCGCCAGAGAAATCCTAGTAAACAACACAGAAATCATCGATAGATACAGCGATAGCAGGCGGCTTGACGTTTGCGAGGCACTACACATCAAGAAGTCAACACCAGCAATCAACAGCCAATTATTGCACAACTATATTCTACCCACCTCAAGACTCCGCTCCAATATAGAAGCATCAAGAAATATGGACCAATAGGCTTTCTACAAACACTTCTATTCAATATCCATTGTTTCGTGTTCTGTCTTGTGTTGATGAAATTAATACCCTATTAATACTCTTGTTCTGTCTTGTGTTGATGAAATTAATACCCTATTAATACCACATTTTGTTCTGTCTTGTGTTAATGCCACATCACCCCTTCCACCTCACTCAAATGTAGATATAAAATCGGAGATACGTAAGTTCTATTCAGTTGTGTATTTGTGAACTAAAGTCTTTGAAAATGTAATAAGTTTTACGAAACGCGCCCGTGTCGCGTCAGACTAGAAATAAAAATGAATTTGGAGAATTGATTTTTGATTTACCTCCAACAGTGAAGCGTAATGTACGAAAGATTGAGAAAATTCGTGTTAGAATTATTAATCTTACTTTTTCGGTCATATTTAATAATATATGTCTACAGGAAAGACTGCTACCAAAATATACTAATATATATATATATATATATATATATATATATATATATATATATATATATATATATATATATATATATATATATATATATATATATATATATATATATATATATATACCACCATCCTCACCACCCAGCGGCCTTCTACCACCATCCTCACCACCCACCTGCCCTCTACCACCAACCTCACAACCAACAAGAATGATAACCCAGATACAGATACGACAACAGTGACAGTTGAGGAGTCGAGTGTGGACCCGTCGACGACAACTATGGAGGACCCGACGACGACGCCGACGCCAGACACCGAGACCCTACCATCAACGAGCGACGTCACCCCAATCACCACCGAAGCAGGCGACGACGCTAACGATACGACCACCGACGGAGAGGCGTCAGACGGCGTGACCACCGCCTCAACAACCACTACCGAGCCTGGTCCACCAGCCCACAACACCACCACAACCACCACCACAACCACCACAACTAGTAAGGCCAAGTCACCCTTCAGACGCGTGAATACATCAATATTGTAATATGTTACGTAATTATTCTCTCGGAAACCTTGGTCTTCTTCTCGTTATGTTCGTGTCACGTTGGCTGACCCTTATTGTGACGTTTCAGTCCGCCCCTGGACCCTTATTGCGACGTTTCGGTCCTTATCACGATGTTCCGAACCTCTCTCGACCTTTGCTACGACGTCACGGGCCGTATCACAATGTTTTGGTCCGCTCTGGACCCTTCTCAGGAATTTCAGTCTACCCTAGACTGAAACGTTGTGACAAGGATTTAATAAGGGTAAATAACGGACTGAAACGTCGTGCTAAGCGTCCATGATGGACCGAAACGTCCTTCTAAGAGTCCATGATGGACCAAAACGTCGTGCTAAGGGTCCATGATGGACCGAAACGTCGTTCTAAGAGTCCATGATGGACCCAAACGCCGTGCTAAGGGTCCATGATGGACCGAAACGTCGTGCTAAGAGTCCATGATCGACCAAAATGTCGTTCTAAGGGTCCATGATGGACCCAAACGTCGTGCTAAGGGTCCATGATGGACCCAAACGTCGTGCTAAGGGTCCATGATGGACCGAAACGTGGTGATAATGATCGAGAACGGACCCAAAAACGTCGTCACCTCCATATCTACAGAATGAGTGACTCGCTGCTCTATTAACCCACAGCGGAGCTGGGATGCGGCGTGAACTCTGACCTGGTCAGCGGGAGATGTGTGTGCGCATCCAACTGGACGCGTGACCCGGCTGACCCGGGGTCGAGCTGCCCCTGTCCTGACCTCTGTGCTGGCCTCTCCTGCCCTCCTGGGGCATCTTGCAAACACCTGACCTGCAACTTCGTTACCTGTAGCTGCCCTGAGCCGTACAGGTTCGAACCCTTCAATATGACCTGTGAAAGTAGGTTCTTGGTGGAGTTTTTTTTCTCCTTTACTTTCCTTTATTATTTATTTCTTTATTTCCTCCTTTATTATTTTCTCCTTTATAAATAATAATAATTTGTATTCATAAACATAAATTTGAAGCATATTACAGTGAAGTGTTCGAAGGTATTCATATATCCTGATATGAATACCTGTATATATATATACATTGTGTAACTCGTAGATGCATAATGTATATTTTCATATAAGTAAGATTTTAGTCTAGTGTGTATAAGCCTTTAGTGTAGTGTTCAGAAGCATACCTGGTGGATGTTGCAATCAAAGATTGCTAAATATAAATCTATTTTGCTTGTCTAAGCTCATTATGACATGTGCTCATGTGGCGCGACTCACTAGGTCAGACTACCATTATGGTGTGTGTGTGTGTGTGTGTGAGTGTGTGTGTGTGTGTGTGTGTGTGTGTGTGTGTGTGTGTGTGTGTGTGTGTGTGTGTGTGTGTGTGTGTGTGTGTGTGTGTGTGTGTGTGTGTGGTGTGTGGTGTGTGTGTGTGAGTGTGTGTGTGTGTGTGGTGTGTGTGTGTGCGTGCGTGCTGGTGTGTGAGAGGCTCGCTAATAACAGGGCCACGGTGCCAAGGACGACGTGCGGACTGGCACTGTATCAACTAATTACAATTCCTTGCTGTCATTCCATTGTGATTCACTAAAAATGTGATTATCTTACATTTCTTTTATTCCTGTTGCATCTGCAACCTTGAGCAATATAGCAGAGTTAGACAATATTCTCTTCTGATAAACATCTCGAACTGTGTCATTGTTGATTGATCTATGACATGATTGACATCATGATGACATGATGTTGATTGAAAGCAAAGATATGGTTAAATAAATAGCCAATAACTACACCATCGCCGATGTCCGGACAAATGAACAGTCGCATTAGGTGAAAGGATATGTTTAATAGACGGTATTATCTATTACACTTATTACCCCAATCGTCATTATCACACCTCACTATTAATTGTCACTGAATTATTTTTATTTCCAATAAATTCACAAAATTTAATTACGAAAAATTAGAACAATTGGCCGTGTAAATGTTATTAAAATACAGTATTATTATACAATAAACGCAACCGTTCCAAATGGTGAGAATTTAGTCATAAAATAAAGAAACCTGACAATAAGTATAAAAAATAATTACATACAACACCTTAGTTCTAATGTATTAACGTGTTGGCGACTTGGTCATCGTATTTTTTATATGCGAGCAGAACAGTTTGGGCTATATTGTTCTCGTTCGATTATATCTTGGATGAGATATTTATCCATGGGGTTAGGCAGTGCTTATATACCCTTAGATATTATTATATATTATATATTTTATATTATATATTATATATTATAAATTATATATTATATATAGTATATCTGTCGTAGTGTGCATTCCCCAGATATCATGCACACACACACACACACACACACACACACACACACACACACACACACACACACACACACACACACACACACACACACACACACACACACACACACACACACACACACACACACACACACACACACATATGCAGGTCCCAGTATATATTTGTACCCACATATCTCCCTCACCTATTGCCCTTCTCTCTCCCCCCCCCCCTCATAACCAATCACCCTCATCATCAACACCTCACCTCATCATCACCCTCACTACACATAAGCAATACAATGCCGAGTAGCCTTCACCAGCTCTTTAGGTTACAAAAGGAAGGTTACTCCAGGCCCGCGACTTCGATCCCATTGCATAACCTCATAACATTCTGGCGATCTCACTGTATAATAACATATTATATAACCATTTGCATTACAAAGTAATTACCAAAAGAAGCTGACAAGGTTTGGAGGACTATTTAAGGTAGTAACGACATGCGTACTAGCGGCTTTGCTAAGAATATATATATATATATAAACACCAAATGTATCTTCTTGAATATAAATAAACAAATAGAGCATCATTTATCCTCATCATGTGGTCTGCAGGTCCATGTAGCTACTATGGGGACGCTCTATGTGGTCTGGAAACCAACATGATGTGCCAGGACGCACCCGAAGAAGAGGCAGGGTACTCCTGTAGGTGTTCCTCAGGGTACCGTCTAATCAACGGTACTTGTCAAGGTACGGTGCAGGTGGGGGAGGGGAGGGGGGGGGGGTTCACAGTTGTGTTTTGTGGTGGTGGCGACTGTGTCATGGTTAGGTGTTATTGTGATTGGTTAGAGTGGTTTAGATTAGATTTAGGTTAGGGTAAGTTAGCTCACTTAGGTTAATTTGAGATGATGTTGATTGATGATTGACTTTAGGGGTAAGTTAGAGTTGGATTACATTACATTAGGATTGATGACGGAAATATCGGTGATTGTTTTGGTTATATTGATGTGTGTAATGCTGGTGATGATTGTGGGGTTATTGCATGGTGACTTCTGTACTGATTGTGCTGACACTGGTGACATCAACGGTGATTGTGACGTCTGTGGGGTGATATATGACGCTTAATGATTACGTTCTGTGATGTTGTTGACGCTGACATCACCGATCCTAACACCAGTTATGAGGTTCGAACCCCACATCAAGGCCCTTTGTGGATTTGTTCAACACTTATATATACATGTTATTGATACGTGGTGTACATTTATATATGATCTTAATTGAAGGACTAAGAGTCGCCTACCCCGTGTGGGTGTATGCGTTGTGGGGGCGTTGTGTGAGGGGCGTGTGTGTGTGTGTGTATGCGTTTGTGTGGGTGTGTGTGATGGGGCGTGTGGGTGGGTGTGTATGCGTTGCGTGGGTGTGTGTGTATGCGTTTGTGGGTGTGTGGGGGCGTGTGTGTGTGTGTGGGTGGCGTGTGTGGGTGTGTGTGTGTGTGTGTGTGAGGGGCGTGTGTGGGTGTGTATGGGTATGTGTGTGTGTGTTGTGTGCGTGGTGTTGGGTGTGTGGTGAGCGTGTGTGTGTGTGTTGGGGTGTGGGAGTGTGTGTGGGTGTGTGGTGTGTGTGTGTGGGTGTGTGTGTGTGTGTGTGGTGTGTGTGTGTGTGTTGTGTGTGTGTGTGTGTGTGTGTGTGTGTGTGTGTGTGGGGTGTGTGTGTGTGTGGGTGTGTGTGTGTGTGTGGGGTTGTGTGTGGGTGTGTGTGTGTGTGTGTGTGTGGGTGTGTGTGTGTGTGTGTGACGTGTGTGTGTGTGTGTGGTGTGTGTGTGTGTGTGTGTGTGTGTGTGTGTGTGTGTGTGTGTGTGTGTGTGTGTGTGTGTGTGTGTGTGTGTGTGTGTGGTGTGTGTGTGTGTGTGTGTGTGTGTGTGTGTGTGTGTGTGTGTGTGGTGTGTGTGTGTGTGTGTGTGTGTGTGTGTGTGTGTGTGTGTGGTGTGTGTGTGTGTGTGTGTGGGTATGTGTGTGTGTGTGTGTGTGGGTGTGTGTGTGTGGTGTGTGTTGTGTGTGTGTGTGTGTGTGTGTGTGTGTGTGGTGTGTGTGTGTGTGTGTGTGTTGTGTGTGTGTGTATTCACCTAGTTGTACTCACCTAGTTGTGTTTGCGGGGGTTGAGCTTTGCTCTTTCGGCCCGCCTCTCAACTGTCAATCAACTGTTTACTAACTACTTTTTTTTTTCTCTCTCTCTCTCTCCACACCACACACACACCAGGAAGCAGCCCGTGACTGCTGACTAACTCCCAGGTACCTATTTACTGCTAGGTAACAGGGGCATTCAGGGTGAAAGAAACTTTGCCCATTTGTTTCTGCCTCGTGCGGGAATCGAACCCGTGCCACAGAATTACGAGTCCTGCGCGCTATCCACCAGGCTACGAGGCCCCCTTGTGTGTGTGTGTGTGTCTGTGCTCACCTAGTTGTTCTTGCGGGGATTGAGCTCTGGCTCTTTGGTCCCGCCTCTCAATTGTCAGTCAACTGATGTACAGATTCCTGAGCCTACTAGGTTCTGTCATATCTACATTTGAAACTGCGTATGGAATCAGCCTCCACCACATCACTTCCTAATGCATTCCATTTGTCAACTATTCTGACACTGAAAAAATTCGTTCTAATGTCTCTAGGACTCACTTGGCCACTCAGTTTCCACCCGTGTCCCCTAGTGCGTGTGTCCCTTGTGTTAAATTAGTCTGTCTTTATCTGCCCTATCAATTCCCTTCAGAATCTTGTATGTGGTGATCATGCCCCCCCCTAACTCTTCTGTCTCCCAGTGACGTGAGGTTTAATTCCCGTAGTCTCTCCTCGTACCTCATGCCCCTCAGTTTGCGTACTAGTCTGGTGGCAAACCTTCGAAGGTTTGGAAACTTTTTCCAGTTCAGTCTTATGCATGACCAGATATGAACTCCATGCTGGAGCCGCATACTCCAGGATGGGTCTGACATATGTGGTATACAAAGTTCTGAATGATTCCTTACACAAGTTTCTAAAAGCCGTTCTTATGTTAGCCCACCTGGCATATGCTGCTGATTTTGTCCTCTTGATATGGGCTTCAGGGGACAGGTCTGGCGTGATATCAACCCTCAAGTATTTCTCTGTCTTTGACTCTTGAAGAATTTCATCTCCCAAATGATACCTTGTATCTGGCCTCCTGCTCCCTACACCTATCTTCATTACATTACATTTGCTTGAGTTAAACTCTAACAACCATTTGTTCGACCATTCCTTCAATTTGTCTAGGTCTTCTTGAAGCCTCAAGCAGTACTCCTCTGTCTTAATCCTTCTCATAATTTTGGTGTTGTCTGTAAACATTGAGAGGAATGAGTCTATACCCCTCTGGGAGATCAATTACGTATATCAAAACAGGATAGGGCCGAGTACAGAGCCCTGTGGGACTCCATTGGTGACTTCACGCCATTCTGAGGTCTCAGCCCTCACTGTAACTCTCTGCTTCCTATTGCTTTGGTAAGGCGCTCCAGTGGATAAAGGTACTCCTTTATCCACTGGAGCACCTTACCAGCTACACCTGCCTGTCTCTCCAGCTTATGTACCAGCCTCTTATGGGGTACTGTGTCAAAGGCTTTCCGACAATCCAAGGAAATGTAGTCCGCCCATCCTTCTCTCTCTCTCTTGCTTAATCTTTGTCCCTTCTCTCCAGATGTGTTACTAAGTTTTTTCTCACGATCTTCTCCATCACCTTGCATGGTATACAAGTCAAGGACACTGGCCTGTAGTTTAGTGCCTCCTGCCTGTCGCCCTTTTTGTATTTTGGGACCACATTAGCAGTCTTCCATATTTCTGGTAGGTCTCCCGTCTCCAGTGACCTACTATACACTATGGAGAGTTTTTTTCTACCACAAACGTGGCCACACATTTGCAATGCTAACCAGCATATATACATTTTTTCTGTCCTCCATGGACAGGGTTAGAGATGTGTTAAACATATAGTTCAAGGGTTTATTGAACGATCAACCACAGAAGGTGATTCGGTGCTTTTAAACTGCTAAGTTAACCTACATACGTAAATACATAGATACACAGATTTACGTATGCCCTACATAAAGTGTTCGATGTGTCTTTTACATAGTGTCATTAATGTGCATTTACAAAGGTGAAATGTAATTCTGATCAGTTTCCATATATACTTTATACACATACATATACATACACACACACACATATACGTACATATACATACATATATACACACATGCATTTACATACATTTGTCTGTTTTACTCTGACAGGGTGAGATAGCTGATAGAGAAACTAGTGTGCAATTAAGCAAAGTGCCACAGCACACTCTTTCAATACCCCATGGTGAGATCCCGTCTAGACCAACAGCCTTTCTCACATCCAGATCCAACATGCGTCTCTTGATCTCATCTCTCGTAATTTCGAACCCTTCCAAGGCCGCCTGGTTTACTGCCCTCTCTCCTAGTGCAGTGACCTCACCTTGTTCTATTATGAAGACCTCCTGGAACCTCTTGTTGCGTTCTTCACACACCTCTTTGTCATTCTCTGTATACCTGTTCTCACCTGTTCTAAGTTTCATTACCTGTTCTTTGTATGTGTGTGTGTGTGTGTGTGTGTGTGTGTGTGTGTGTGTGTGTGTGTGTGTGTGTGTGTGTGTGTGTGTGTGTGTGTGTGTGTGTGTGTGTATATGTGCATGTGTTAGAGAGAAATATATAAGTAGCATACATAATAGAGGAAAACAAGAGATAGGTTAGAAAGGCGGGGAAGGGGTCCAAGAGCTAACAGCAGGAGCCTGGAGGCACAGGAAGATAATTACACCTGGACATCCTGATTTGTGGAACGAGTGTGTGGCCGTTTATCCCATTACCCTCCACAACAGCCATCACAGCTGTCTACAGGTGTACTGGAACCGGAAGTGACCACACACGTGTTGGACTTCATCAATGATTGATGACCGGGTCTTCTGTAACCAATGGAGTAACACAATACCTAAATGGGGGCCAGAAGGTTTATACATATATGGACATGGATATAAATAATATTGGTCTTTAGTGACATCTGTATGTGTGTGTCTTTCGGTTTATATTTATCTGTGAGTCTCTCATTCTCTCTCTGTCTGTCTCTGTCTCTCTCTCTGTCTCTGTCTCTCTGTCTCTGTCTCTCTCTCTCTCTGTCTTTGTCTCTCTCTGCCTCTGTCTCTCTCTCTGTCTCTGTCTCTCTCTCTGTCTTTGTCTCTCTCTGCCTCTCTCTCTCTCTCTCTCTCTCTCTCTCTCTCTCTCTCTCTCTCTCTCTCTCTCTCTCTCTCTCTCTCTCTCTCTCTCTCTCTCTCTCTCTCTCTCTCTCTCTCTCTCTCTCTCTCTCTCTCTCTCTCTCTCTCTCTCTCTCTCTCTCAGTGCCACACTACTAATGCCAGACACCTGTACAGATGTGAACGAGTGCCTAAACCCGGCACTCCATGACTGCGACCACATCTGTGAGGACGCAGCGCCCCCTCGCTTGTACAACTGTTCCTGCTACAACGGTTTTACCTGGGACGAGGAGCAACGAAAGTGGTCTGATTGGTGAGTACTGCTTGGGAAGTTCTGGTTATTCATCAGAAATCACTAACTACCGACTATACGACGCTATATATATATATATATATATATATATATATATATATATATATATATATATATATATATATATATATATATATATGTATATATATATATATATATATATATATATATATATATATATATATATATATATATATGTCTATGCTTAATGCACAATGTGCATTAAGCATAGACACAGAGTTCTCCCCATATTAACAGGAATTTGATGAAAGAAAGTGAGTAGCCCTCACTACGCTCTAGTTGCCCTTGGGAGGTGGTGATCTTTGGAGGTGAAATACTCCGAAATTACCATCTCTTTTAAGGGTCTGAGCTGTGGTGCAGTGGGTTAAAGGCTTACCAGTTATGCCAGTTGCTGTAAGGCTTCTGTACTGGCTAGGGTTCGAATCTCCTGATGGGAAAGTGTTCTAAGGTTGTATAATCTTAGTATAGTTATAATATATAGTTATAATATATACCACATTCCTCGGTGACTGTACTCTATAGTCCTAGACTATATGTTCAGGACTTTGAATATACCTCGTGGTTGCCTTGTAAACTATTGTACTGGCCGTTAGTACCCTACACAGATTGATAGGCCTATAAACCTTCTGGACTTAATCTGAAATGAAAAACTTAATCTGACCGTGTACTACCCCGGTGCCCTCGGGGGGGATCGAAATGATGTGGAAAAACTCCGAAATTTCCTTCCCTTTTGTAGGGTCTGGATGGTGTGGTGTAACGGTTAGCGTATCAGTTATGTCAGGTGCACGAACACTTGTGCTTTCTGAGTTTGAGTCACTTGCTGGGTGTGCGTCTGATGTGTGTTTATATATATATATATATAATATATATATATATATATATATATATATATATATATATATATATATATATATAAATATATATATATATTTTATATATATATATATATATATATATATATATATATATATATATATATATATATATATATATATATATATATATATATATATATTGCTAAATATGACCGAAAAAGTAAACTTATTAATTCTAACACGAATTTTCTCAATATTTCTTATGTTTCTTTTCACTGTCGATGGTAATTGAAAAATCAGTTCTCCAAAATTCATTTTTATTTCTAGTCTGACGCGACGCTTGAACGCGTTTCGTAATAACTTATTACATTTTCAAAGACTTTAGTTTACACACACAACTGTAACCTATAAACACGCTAATCCGTCATATTTATACTCGCATTTGGGTGAGGTGATATGGTGCAACATTTTGGATGAGGTGAAAAAACTTGTGACAAACACAAGACAGAACACCAAACTATGGATATTAATTGGATATGAGAGCATAAGAATGTAAGTAACTGCAGAGGGCTTATTGGCCCATACTTCCTCTTGATGCTTCTAGCATCAAGAGCAAGTATGGGCCATTAGGAAATATTTTTTGATTACTTAGCAAGAAATATAAATGACTTTTGGAGAATTGATTTTTCAATTACCATCGACAGAGAAAAGAAACATAAGAAATATTGAGAAAATTCGTGTTAGAATTATTAAACTTACTTTTTCGGTCATATTTAGCAATATATATACATGTATATATATCCTATTATTGGTTCGTCACATACTTACAGATAACGCCACAAGAGGGTGCGAGTGTGGAGACCCAACAAGGAGTGTGTGTTACAGCCCTGAAGGCGGGGCCCAGGAGTGTAACCCGCGACCAGGATACACGATGGAGAACGGCACCTTCATAGGTGGGTTGATCCACCTTGTGTTTTCCTGCCTGCCAGATTTAAAAGGCTAGATGATGAAGGTGAAATAAGCATTCGTCTCTGTCTCTGTCTGTCTGTCTCTCTCTCTCTCTCTCTCTCTCTCTCTCTCTCTCTCTCTCTCTCTCTCTCTCTCTCTCTCTCTCTCTCTCTCTCTCTCTCTCTCTCTCTCTCTCTCTCTCTCTCTTTCTCCTTCCTTCCCTCCCTCATGTACCATCATCATCAATTGTTCTATTCGGGTCATGGAGGCATTTCTTTGCTCCCAATCTCCACTACACTCATTAGACCCCCTTCGCCTCCTCAGCATTCATTGACGTATTTGCCACAATTATTCATTAACTTGTCGGTGTTGGTCTGACCATAAATCATTTTGCAGACGTGGCCGAGTGTGGCGACAATGTGGGCGTGCGGGCGTGGTGCGGGAGAGGCGGTGTTTGTGTCGAGGGCGTGGGGAAGTCTGTATGTCAGTGTTCATATGGCTACACCAATGATACACTCAGTAATGGGGAGTGTGTAGGTGAGTCAATGTGTCCTGATGGCATAGAGACCCAGTACCCCCAACATCTGGATAGGGCTCGCACTTCATTGCTTTGCCCTAGGCTAGTACAAAGCTAGTACTAATACTAGTTCTAGTAAACTCTAGTATAAAACTTTGACTGTTTCACCCCTTAAAAGATCTACGTTTTGTGCCATTAATATTGCAAAGGGCACGACAAAACCCCAAAAGTAAAATGTAAATATTCCTATGCCTAGTGAAGACGATATATGTACCATACTAGACTTAAGATATCGTATATTCCGCCTTGTTTTTTGTTAGTGTTGATATATCTAAGATAATCTTTATCTACTTTCTGCCAGGTGTGGTGTGTGCAGAAGGCCTGGAGCTCTCCAGCTCTGGCTGTCATGGTAGGTGGTCACCTTCGCTATATTTATATATATATATATATATATATATATATATATATATATATATATATATATATATATATATATATATATATATATATATATATATATATATATATATATAAAATATCTTTATATATATATATAATATCTTTATATATATATATATATATATATATATATATATATATATATATATATATATATAAATATCTTTATATATATATATATATATATATATATATATATATATATATATATATATATATATATATATATATATATATATATATATCACCTCCTGGGATCTATGTTATATATATATGAATGTATTAAGGTATTTTATTGATTGGACGCCAATCCTTTACTATAGCCTCTATTCACCCAGAAGTGAATGGGGACCTGGTTGTAAAACGCTTTGGCGGGTCTTATTCCAGGGGGAAAAAATTAGGATAAAGCCTGAAACGCTATGCGTGCTAGAGGCTTTACAAGACTGTAAGAACTCTTATATATGTAATTATTACTGATCCCAACCCGGTATTATAACTTGTCAATCATGCCTGGTTTGTGACGCTTACTTGTCTTTCTTGTAACACTGACAGATCCCTGTAGAACTGGGTGTCCCCCGCCATTTTCCTGCGGTCTCACAAGTAACAGAGGGACAGAATGCAAATGTCAGAGTAAGTGTCAGGACCTGCTACAGACCGGTGACACCACCTCCAGTATCTTCCACGGCTCCTTCCTTGCTGCTTCCGTCTCACAAGACCTCATCAGCACCAGGAGACTCCTTAAAACCGTAAGATTTACATTGATATTAATTTCTTTAAATAAGAGAAATCGTTCAAGAAATTGAGAATAAAAGTTTGTTTTGTCAATTTTAGATATTCAATACACACTATAAGAAAGATAGGACTTCCTAAGGCATTTTTTGTCATTGTTAGTTCCTTGTAAGTTTTAAGACTTCTGTAAGCGTAGCTGCCACGGAAGTTGCCATAAGGGGCTAGATTGAAGGTTGCCACAGAAGGCTACAGTGGAGGCTGTCTGTGGCAAAGCTTGTCTCTAGATATTTTTATTCGTAAGCCTGTTGCTTGCATCGGCTAGCAGCAGGCCCTACACATCCATCACAACCTAATTGATCCATTAGAAAAAACTTTTTCAGTGTCAGAGTAGTTAACAGGTGGAATGCACTAGGCAGAGATGTGGTGGAGGCTGACTCCATACACAGTTTCAAATGTAGATATGATAGAGTCCAGTAGGCTCAGGAACCTGTACACCTGTTGATTGACAGTTGAGAGGCGGGACCAAAGAGCCAGAGCTCAACCCCCCGCAAGCACAACTAGGTGAGTACAACTACCTGCACCAAATGCACCATTCTCTACCTCACAACATTAAGTCCTATTTTGAGATCCTTTCTGACCACTAACTCATTATTCCCCATCACAACGGCGGCAGCTGGAGACGTGCCTCGGCCATCACACCGTCGAGATCACCTCCGTAGATGTGACCACAAGTCTGAAGCGCTCCGTCCCTCAGTTGACCTACCAGAAGGTGCAGTTCCTCGTGTCTACCAGGCATCCCAACATGGCCCAAGAGGTGGCGGAGGTCATCAAGAAGCAGTGCGAGGCGCCCTTCAACAACCAGTCCACCTTCTGCGTCCTGCCCGGGGGTCTGGTCGTCAAGAAGGACTCCATTACCGTTGCGGATATAAGTAAGCCCCGTAATCTGACGAAGACAATTGATATATCTAAGTAGATTGTAAATATTGTTTGTTTATTATTGTTCTACACTTGTTTTAAAACTGGTGTAGAAGGTGTCAAGACAAAAGCATAGGTCAAGAAAATATATGCCACTAGGTAGCAACATATAGACTTCTTGTGGATAGTCTGGTCACGTTACTCATGAAGGTCACTGACCGGGTCAGGACCGGACGTCAGCGACCATATGGGGGGGGGTTGTGGAAGGCCCTTTGACAAGCCGCCGGCTTTCTGTCCTCGTCGTAGTCACTAGTGCCCTCAGGTAAACAATTTCATAAAAAAAAACGAAAGCTGACTTCTGGGCAGATCTCAATGTAGTGGATTTAGCATTAAAGGACTGAATTAGGTCTTAGAAATTGTCTCTGGTAGTTTGGTGACCCACAGAATGGAACGTTAGGACCGAGTAGTGTTTATTGGGGGTGTCCTAGTTCATATGTTACTTCTAGTTTATGTACCGTACATGTCTATGTAAATAAATATATAATATTAACTAATAAATAAATATTGACTTCGAGTGGATGTTTGATGATAACTCAAAATTAGGAGAAAGATTACGGTTGCTACATATAGCAACAAATGGCTGACCACAAGGTTGCTACGTACAGAACTAACCAATATTCCTCACACCGACAGACCCGTGCGAGGAGGACCCGTGCCCGGGGGAGGTGTTCCTCTGCCAGCCCCTCAACAACACCAGCGGCAGGTTTAAGTGCGTGTGCAGGCCGGGCTTTGTGAAGGTCACCCTCGAGGGCGCCCCAGACTTCTGTCAGGGTGAGTGAGGGTGAGCTGGTGGGTGGGTGAAGCCTCCAGCTGGTAGATAGGTAGGTGAAGCCTCAAGCTGGTAGATAGGTAGGTGAAGCCTCAAGCTGGTAGATAGGTAGGTGAAGCCTCAAGTTTGATAATGGACTTGAAGGGCATACCAGAATATATAGTAGACAGGTTGAGCCACAGACAGGATATATAGTAGACAGGTTGAGTGACAGACAGGATATATAGTAGACAGGTTGAGCCACAGACAGGATATATAGTAGACAGGTTGAGCCACAGACAGGATATATAGTAGACAGGCTGAGCCACAGACAGGATATATAGTAGACAGGCTGAGCCACAGACAGGATATATAGTAGGCAGGCTGAGCCACAGACAGGATATATAGTAGACAGGCTGAGCCACAGACAGGATATATAGTAGACAGGCTGAGCCACAGACAGGATATATAGTAGACAGGCTGAGCCACAGACAGGGTATATAGTAGACAGACTGAACCACAGACAGGGTATATAGTAGACAGACTGAGCCACAGACAGGGGAATATAATAGACAGACTGAGCCACAGACAGGGTATATAGTAGACAGACCGAGCCACAGACAGGGTATGTAGTAGACAGACTGAGCCACAGACAGGGGAATATAATAGACAGACTGAGCCACAGACAGGATATATAGTAGACAGGCCGAGCTCTTAATCCTGTTCTAACACCTGACGGCGTCCATCGCAGTCACCCCTGGGTCGCACAGAAGACGTTCTCTAATGCAAGTCCAACTTAACTTAAAATTTGACTACGTTTTCTAACGGTATAAAAGAGATTAAATGTAAATACAGTGCAAGTAACGATGCGATTATATTTTGAGTTTGAGCTTAGGAACTTAGCGTCTAATGCCTCTTTGTACCTAACGGTAAATACGTACCTGCGATTTAGGTAACTGTTGTGGAGGCTCGATCCTTGATGATCTATGCTCCAAAAAGGATTCATGACTCCAATATTATTTATATTTTCCAGACATGGACGAATGTAGGGGTAACTCAAGCATATGCAGTGAAGACTTCGACTGCATCAATACACCGGGGAGCTTCGTCTGCAGGTAAGGGGTCATCATCAGGCTTCACCGTCAACCAGGAAGCCTGCGGCTGCAGGTAGGGTCATCATCAGGCTTCACCACCCACCAGGAAAAGTGTTTTCTTAAGATTACTGTGAAAGGTAATATAATTTTCCCTGATAAATTAAAACTCGTCAAGATCAACAAGAAATCGTTGCTATTCCCTAATTACAAAAACCTGAAAAATATAATGTTTTAACTTTCAGGTAATTTTTAATATAGTTAAAAGCACTTGTTTAATTATGGCATCAATATCGTCCTTTATTTTTTATGGTAAATGAGATTTTGATAGTTATGAGATAAATCTCATAACCAATTTCTCTAAGGAATTCAAAATAATTTTTATTAAAAAATTTTAAAATTGAATTTATGATATTTTAAAACAAAGATTCAATATTATTCATTAATTTAATAATGTTTTATAAAAGTTGTAAATTGAGGTACGCAGTTGGATCTGTTAAATTGTGATGGTCAATAATGTCTTATATGTGTTTCAGGTTAAAGCCTGAGTCTCAGGAACATAGAGGTGAGTGAAGAATGTTAACTTTAATTTCTCTCTCATTTATAAATAGAAGCTGTTCATTAAATTATTGAACATGTTATACTGTCCACATTCTCCAGTGATGTTATGAGCTGAGGTTTACATGTGTGTTCACCAGGCAAGGCGGAGAGGGAGATGGCCATATCGTTTGGGGTACTCTTCTTCCTCACAGTCTTCATTACCTGCGGTCTGGTCTTCCTGTGAGTATACCTGAGTTATTGCGAGTTTACCTAGAAACTTTACCTGTGAGTATAAACTAGATAAGTTTAGCTTTCGGAAAGAATTGGGTAAATACTGGTTCGGTAACAGGTTTGAGTTTTTCTGAGTTTACCTGGGTTGCTGTGAGTATACCTGAGATGTTGTGACTATAATTTTGCTGTGAGTATAAATTTGTTCTTGAAAGTATATCTTCGTTGTTGTGAGTATATCTTGGTGTGAATATATCTCTGGGTTGTGTATTCACAAGAACGATTTAATTATATTTAGAATATATTATCTGCAAAGGGTGGGTTATTAGTGAGCATATTTTTTAAAGCTGAGTGTAACTTAGGTATCGTATGAGTATATTCACGTATATATCAGTATAATGGGTATAGTGAACCTTTGTATAACACATTTGTATACACCAGGTAACATGTAGCTGCTCTGTTCAGTACACATTAGTTACTGTTAACACCTGTCATAATGTGAGCACACCTATCATGTTATGATTACTCCTGCCATTGTGTGAGTACTTTTGGCATGCTGTGAGTACTCCTGGCATGTGATTATTATTGTCATGTCATCATTCTGCTGCTACTGCCCCAATGTTTTGTGTGTCAATGCGTCTTTAAATGTTTTATAATATATATATAATATAATTTCTTGCCCGAAACGTGGTGCTTATTAGTGGCTTTAGACATACTATGTACCAGCTCTATCTAGCCATCCAACATTCTGTTTGAAACTTATTTTGTTTGCATGTAGCTTGACCGAAATAATCCTGGCCGGCAAGGATTTACTGGTCGTCAATCCTCAACTGTAGCCCTCTGCTTACCCAACAGTAAAATGGTACTTGGTTGTTGAAGGATTTAGCAAGTCGTATTCCGGGGAATATTAGGATTAAGGACTGGCCCGCAACGCTATGCGTGCTAGTGGCTGTACAAGAATGTAAGAACTCTTGTATACATAAATAAACTATTATTATTATTATCTTAGCGCAAATATTAAATCCATTGTTTAATCACTGCAGGTTGATGAAGAAGAATAGGAGCCGGCGGGAGCTGGTGCCCATGTCCACCACCACAGGCTTCGACAACGAGTCCTACCTGAGGTAACCGGTCCATGAGAAGGCTGACAGAACCCTCCGTCCTACATCCCGAAGAGAAAAAGCTTGGATGAGCAACCAATAGAAATTGGAACAAAGTGCCGAGACTTGCAGGGGATACCAATGTAAACTGAACTATAGAACATGGACGCTTGACGGGGGAACTAAACTGAACAGAAAGATGAAAATGGGAAGCATGCAGGGGGCATACATAGAAATTAAAGCCGTGTTGAGACTTGCAATGAATAATATAAATAGAACGATAGACGATGAAAGCTTGAAGGGATGGAATTAATAGAAATATAAGAGTGGAAGCGGAAAGCTTGGAAGGTTTGACCAACAGAAACAGAAAGTTAGAAGAAAATTTTGAAGGGTATCCCATAGAAAAATAAGGGTGCAAGAGAAATTGGAAAAGAGACCAATGAAGGGACAGAAACGGAGAAAGAATAAAGCATATAAGGTAATCATCAAGAGTCTAAGACAAAAGAGCCATTGAAGGTTACGTACCATTGGGAATTTCGAACCCCGACCCTGCATGAATCGAGGCTGTTGCTCTTCTGACCTTCAAGTAGATGAACAAGCTAGAACACAAGGCACAGACGGAGAAGTATTCACAAATGTGGAGCAGAAGGAAGTTTAATGACATATGGATACGTAGCAAATACTAACGCAATTCCTGACCGAAGCAGCGACGTTGTTGTTAATGTTATTGATACAGCTACTTGGACCAAACGTTCCATAGTAGAAACGTTTGATTCACTTATTTATAAAGTAGCACAAACATAAAACAGACAAAAGACACAATTTAGGAAATATTTATGCTAAAACTGGTTAAACTTGAAGAAATTAACAGCATGCTGTTAATTATTTTTAATATAAAATTGTGTAAAATATTGAAAAAAAAAATTGTTTACATTAAGTTCTAGTATATCTAGTGATTATGTTTCGCTTAGTGTTATTCAATGAAGCCAAAAGTGCGTGGTTCACAAATAGTGTATAGATACTATGTCTGCCATGAATCAGTATGACAGTTGTCATGACCCAGCATGACTGACAGACGTTTGTCATGACCCAGCATGACTGCCAGCACTGACAGACTTCCATTATAGTAACCGAACTTGACAGCCGTGTTGGACCAATGTAACTTCTAGTACCTTAACGCCTCTCAAGACTTTGTATAATAGCTTTAAAGAACCTTTAAGCAATCGAGAACAGTTACATAACGTCGGAGAGTGCAAGGGAAGGCCCGACACTTCTTGCCAATAACTCAAGCAGTTTCTTTTTAATGACGGCATTAAAGCTGACACGACCACCCCCGACCCCCATCCTCTCAAGCAACTGTGTCTGCCTTGAACTTAAGTAGTCATACAAAGTGTTTGTATTAAGTCTATGCAGTTTTTGTTGTTCTGGTACAGTCGTATTATCTACCAGAGCCTGTGCTAGGCTACGTTATACTTGAAGACTTTCGTGAAATTTGAGCTGAAAATGTTTATTTAATGTGCCAATGGTTGTGGTTTCTTGTCCATTATGTTTATATCCAATATTGTGAGATTATATACATATATTTATATTTATAAATTAGAGTGTTTGTCCGAGGCTGGAGGCCAAACGCTTGCTGTTAGCCTCATTCAACTTTACCCCCTGATTCCTGTTCGGTGTGTTCCCAATATTCTTAAAGTCGGGGCGCCAGAATTCACATACACACCCCTACGGTGATTTTGCAGTGACATCGGCGCCCGTTTCCTTAAATACTTTGAAAGGAAATTAGTATAGCATTTTAACACATTATGCACTGATATAGGGAAAATTAACAGAAATAGTTTGTTCATCATACTATGGCTGTGAAGGAAAGCCCTCCTATACCATCTCAAAGCCAACGGGAAACTATATTATTCTTTCCATTTGTCATTATTTATAAGACAGAGAGAGAGATTGGGCACTGAAAGACAGAAATACACAGAGACGGAGACAGACCTACAGACAAAGAAACAGAGAAAAGAGGACAGTCACGTGAAGACAGAAAAACACTGACAGATATAGGGAGGCCTGAGTCGACTTGAACACCATTAGTTATCACACCTTGTGAATATATTTATACATAACTCTATGACCCGATCAGGGTTCGAACCTCTGTTGCCTGGGCTCACCACCTGGCGAACACAGCACTATATAGCCCCTTCACTAGCGATCCTCTTATATATAAATATATAATACTTATAGTGAAACAAAAAAATGTACACACCACCATTATTCAGTGGCAGGGAGAATATGTTCCGTACACTGAGAGTATGTTTAGTCTTGGGATATGTTCAGCACTTATATACTCTTGTGGCCAATTGGACTGTAAACAATTGTGGAGGCCTTAATAAACCTTGATAAACATTAAGCCCAAAACAGAATCAACTATTTTGTATTAATCAATTATTTTTTATAATAAATGGATTAGTTATACATAATATTACGCTATTATTTACATGTTTAATTAATGGGGAAACTACGTCATTTTATCAATGACATGTGTTGGATGTCTTTGCCAGGAGAAACTGACCGCTTCTTTGATCAGCCTGGCCTCTCCAGCGTTCACTACGTTACTAAATTGATGTACTAAATTCCTCGGACCAAACCTATCCAAGACCCACGAATAGAAAACGGGGCACCACGTCAATTTTGCGAGCCGTTACTATTAGGTTTTTTCAAAACCTTGAAATAATTCAGCCCATTTTTCTTTTGGTAGTACTTATAGGAACGATGAGCACCATAGTATATATATATACTAATGTACAATTAGTATATATACTATGTACATATACTATTAGTTGTACAATGTACAACGTGAATTGTATAATAGTATATATACTATTAGTTGTACAATGTACAACTAATTTTTACTTGTGTTGCTTTGGCAAACTGAACTAAACTATCCTAACCTCCCTAGGCCTAATATCTGAGGCCTAATATAGTACATATGTGTACTATACTAGCCCTAAGAATATATAAGTTTGTATTTTAGCTTAATTTATTTTAAAATAATTCCTTACTAGTCAGTATACTACTATCTAAAAGCTAAGAACGTACAAATTCTGACTATTAACGACCGTCACAATACAGCCCGTCCTCCAAAAATGGGGAGGTAATGTAACAGCACAAGTAAGTGCAATTATGTACTATTCATAGCAGTCAGGAATTGTACTTATTTTCACGTAGTATTAAACCGTACTGTCAAATATATTGTGAATATTTGAGTTTACCTGAAAAGCTGAATAGGAAACCACAACCTAACCTAACCTAACCTTCTTAGTATTTGAAGATAAGCATTTTGGTTACAGCCTAGGTACTATATAAGCAGGAGGACGGGTTATACAGCCTTCTGACACTGTGAAGCTAACAATCGAACTGCAACAACACTGTTCCATCCGTTTAGAGAAATTTAAACAGATTGCATTAAAATTTGCAATCAATTAAACCCCCCATGATTTCATTACTAATAGCAAAATCTACAACACCTGCCTTGATGTATATTTGTCCAATTAACGGAATATTTCTCTGTTAATCCTGACAATTGTATAACTGTAGCAGATATTCAAACTCCAATTCAAAATTCAAATGTTTATTGAAGTAAAAGTGTATTCATAGAAGTTACAAACATAATGTTGGAATTATAGATAGAGCTAGTACATACAATATCTAAAGCCACTAATACGCATAGCGTTTTAGGCTAAATAATATATTATTAATAATAAAATATACATATAACCATTTTAAGTACATTAGATATATGACAGTTTAACGAACACGTCAACAATAATGTACAGAAGTTATGTAAAAGTTGTTTTTTATTGAGATGATATAAAGGTCTTAAGGGTTTATCAATGTATAATATTTTGTTGCTTATTAATGCATAAAAATGGGTAAGGGAAGTGAAGGCAAGATGAGGGAGGTGGAGATAGGATGAGGATAGGGAAACAGAGGTAAGGGTGAAGTTAGAGAGATTAGAGGTAAGGGAAAAGTTAGGGAGATTAGAGGTAAGGGTGAAATTTAGAAAGATAGAGATAAGGGCGAAGTTACAGAGATAGAGCTGGAGGTTAGGCCAGGGGGGGGGGGGTGCTGAGGTGAGATCAGGGACTGGGGGTAAGATCACAGGGGGTTAGGATAGGACGAGATCAGCAAGATGGAGATCAGAGTGACCACCACGACGAAGGAGCTACGAGATCAGTAAACTCAAGCATTATGATGAACACCTTCGCAGACTCTCCCAAGGAGGCGAGAAATAGCCTAAACATCCTTTTGGTATGTATTTTCTCCTTTATGTAAACTAGATTGAACTTGACTCTCACTCATCACCTGTCAAACGCCTCTGCAATCTTTGACCCTCAATCTATATCTTCAATTTATTTGATAAACCTACAAAGCTTCGTGTTCATACAAAATCTGCTGTCAGCAATGTGCATCTTCAACATAATATACCAGAATATGTAAATATATTATCTACTATGTAGAGATAATATATCTGTATATTATAGATACCTTTTTAAACTAAGATAACCCATTGATAATACATAAACTGATATATATATATATATATATATATATATATATATATATATATATATATATATATATATATATATAATTGTATGACGGGTCGTATTCCGGGGAAAATTAGGATTAAGGACCTGCCCGAAACACCATGCGTGCTGGTGGCTGTACAAGAATGTAAGAACTCTTGTATATATAAATAAATAAAATAATTATAATGCGTCCTACACCCATCCCGTGGTCTATACACCCTTCATTCTTTTCACTATAGAATATTGCAAGTTGTTGAACACTGTACCAGATGGGCTGTGGTGGCTACGGTGGTCTAGTAGCATCCTGGTCAGCCGGGGAGCCAAGAGCAGCAGTCGAGTGTAGCTGGGGAGCAACAGCGGTGGGTATAGTAAGGTACACCTGATATTGGTGTCAAGACCTGGCTAGGGTCGCCCTCACGGAAGACATCTTCCGTCACGCAGGGTGCAGTCGCACCTCTACAGATCTCCAGTATCAGCTCTTGGTACTGGTAATGGCTCAAAAGGGCCACCACTTACGGGCTATTCATGCCCGTGCCACCTTTTGGGTGGCTTAATCTTCATCATCTAGGGTCGCCCTGGCCCACTTGTACGAGAGTACCCTAGAGTGGTGGTGGCTCGGATAGCCGGGCAGGTACGAAGAGGCCCCACAGTTACAACCGCGCTCCTGTGCCAGGTAAGTCCACTACGGGTTCACCATAACCCGTGCTACTTGGAACTTTTGTTCCCAGTAACTAAATCTTAAACAACGGTGGTGACTGGCACTGGAGGAGTGAGAAGGCTGCCTAAAGGGAGCGATATACTTAGAACATAGAGACGAATAGGTGGTGTGTGTATACTCAGGAGACAGGTTTGGTGTGATATCAACTCCTAGATCTTTCTCTCTGTCCGTTTCATGAAGGACTTCATCTCCCATTCTGTATGCTGTGTTTGGCCTCCTGTTTCCACTGCCTAGTTTCATTACCTTACATTTATTTGGGTTGAACTTTAGTAGCCATTTGTTGGACCATTCATTCAGTTTGTCTAGGTCATTCGTGTAGTCTTATACTGTCTTCCTCCGTCTTAATCCTCCTCATAATTTTTGCATCAACAATGAGAGGAATGATTCTATACCATCTGGAAGGTCATTTACATATATAAGAAACAGTATGGGTCCAAGGACTGAACCCTGCGGGACCCCACTGGTGACGTCTCGCCAATCTGAGACCTCACCCCTCACAGTGACTCGCTATCTTCTGTTACTTAGGTACTCCCTTATCCAACGAAGTACCTTCCCTTTCACTTCTGCCTGCATCTCCAGCTTTCGCACTGGTCTCTGGTGTGGCACTGTGTCAAAGGCTTTCTGGCAATCCAAAAATATGCAGTCTGCCCAAATCTCTCTTTTTTTTGTCTGATTCTTGTTGCCTGATAGTAGAATTCAATTAATCCTCTGAGGCATGACTTGCCATCCCTGAAACCATGTTGGTGTTGTGACACAAAGTTCCTTCGCTCCAGATATGTGTAATTACCTAAGTGTAGTTACAGGATGAGAGCTACGCTCGTGGTGTCCCATCTTCCCAACACTCTTTGTCATATAACGCTTTGAAACTGTGTGTGTGTGTGACATATGTGGTGTTATGAATAATATATAATTTATGTTCATAAGGCCTAAATACCCGACTGATTGACTTAGGCCAATCAAAAACTAAACAGATTATTAATTCAGGCCTACCTAAAAACCAAACAGATTATTAATTCAGGCCTACCTAAAAACATATTATTAATTCAGGCCTACCTAAAAAATATTATTAATTCAGGCCTACCTAAAAACCAAACAATGACATGTCTACCATAGATCTATGAGAGACAGTATTTATCACCGACACCGAGAAATCTATTACAAATGTAATTCATTAACATATCAGCGTACTGTTCAATTACAATGTAGCCAACGTGGTAAACATCATTACATTTCCAGGTATTATCTGGAGTTTGTCTGTGATGTTTGATGCATTGTTGTACATACTGGTTAGCGAGTGGGAGGGTGCTGTCCCAGACGAGCACCCCGCTGCCAGACAACCACTCCCTGGCTAGGCTGTTGAACTGGTCCGTAACAACATTATTGTGCCGGAACCATTCGCCAAGCTGAAATCAAAAATAAATCTCTGTGTGAAATGACACTCTATAACATTGAGGTGAGACAGGCGTCTATATCATGAAGATAGTTCAATCGCGCCTATATCAAGTTAGATCAAACCAACATGCGGTCTTAATTGCAACTACAAACTAACCGGCACAGGATATCTAAGTAAACATAAATTCTACAGCATGTTGCAAGTTGTGGAAGGCAGCATAAGCCTCTACAACATACCGGGACGTGGTCTTGTAGCTTGAAGATAACTGCAGTGTGGCGCGCGAGGCGTGAGAGCTGGCGCGAGAAGTTCCTCAGCTGCTGTTGGTACTCGTCAAAGAATATCAACGACGATAGTATTTTCTCGTCCCACGACTCCACGATCCAGTGTGTCACGGAATCTGGGTTTAAGTTTTAATACATTTTAATAAATGATTATATGTTGTACCTATTAGCCAGAACGTCGTACTTGGCCTACTATGCAAGGCCCAATTTGCCTAATAAGCTAAGTTTTCCTGAATTTATATTTTTTTATAATTTTGTTCTTATGAAATGATGGACCAATCTAGCTCATTATGTATGAGTTCATTTTATTTGTTTTGAATTAAAACTAACGTAGATATATGAACGAACGTAACCTATCCTACCTAACCTAACCTAACCTATCTTAACCTAGCCTAAACTAATATAACTAAGTCAATAATTTATGTTCATAGTATAATAATAATATAATATACTATAATAATAATAATTCAAATAAACCAATTGGAAACAATTTATGGAAAATAAATAAAATCACTCTGCCTATTAGGCAAATCGGGCCTTGCATAGTAGGCCGAGAAATGCGTTCTGGCTACTAGGTACGACATATATATATATATATATATATATATATATATATATATATATATATATATATATATATATATATATATATGTCGTACCTAATAGCCAGAACGCACTTCTCAGCCTACTATTCAAGGCCCGATTTGCCTAATAAGCCAAGTTTTCCTGAATTAATATATTTACTATAATTTTTTTTCTTATGAAATGATAAAGCAACCCTTTTCTCTATGTATGAGGTCAATTTTTTTTTATTGGAGTTAAAATTAACGTAGATATATGACCGAACCTAACCAACCCTACCTAACCTAACCTAACCTATATTTATAGGTAAGGTTAGGTTAGGTAGCCAAAAAAAGCTAGGTTAGGTTAGGTTAGGTAGGTTAGGTAGACGAAAAAACATTAATTCATGAAAACTTGGCTTATTAGGCAAATCGGGCCTTGAATAGTAGGCTGAGAAGTGCGTTCTGGCTATTAGGTACGATATATATATATATATATATATATATATATATATATATATATATATATATATATATATATATATATATATATATATATATATATATATATATTCGTAGCAGTCTTTCTTGTAAGCATTTGTTGTTGAATATGACCGAAAGGGTATGATTAATGATTCTAACACGCTTCTTCTCAATATTTCTTATGTTTTCTTCACTGTCGAGGGAAGTTGTGCAACAGTTTTGCACAAGCAACAGGATTCCATCAAGGAGCATATAATCTCCTCACACAACCAGACCATCACCAGAGAAATCTTAACAAGCAACACAGAAATTATCGACAGATACAACGACAACAGAAGACTCGACATCAGCGAGCCCCTACACATCAAAAAGTCAGCACCAGCAATCAACAACCAATTAACATATAAATAAATTCAACAACATGTTGCAAGTTGTGGAAGGCAGCATACCCATTTCAAGACCCCGATCCAACACAGAAACAGTTGAAGCAATAGCCTTAATACCCATATGCCATCCCTGAATTGACTCATCTACGTGTTCATCTCAATCATGTCCTGTATCACCTCACTCCAAGCCTTGGTATTGCATGTAAAACTTGTCTTTGAAAATGTAAGGAGTGCCTCGCGAAATGCTTGCCAAGGCGCGTCAGACCATAAATAGTGAAAATTAACTTTGTAGAGTTAATTTTTCAACTTCCCTCGACATTGAAGAAAAACATAAGACATACTGAGATGATTCATGTTAGAATCATTAACCTTACTCCTAATTACCAACAAAATATTACTGTACAGATGCATCCTGTGACGAGGACAGTTCTAGAAATTTAAGAAATCCAATTAATCTTTTTATGATTCTGATACTGAATCATGATCATGTGTTTGGGTTATGTTTGTTATGTGTTTGTGATCATATATCATCAAGGAGAACATATGGGAGGATCTACAAGACAGACCAACTCATGGGTGTGTGCACAATAAACTATATCCTTACTACAATGACCCGTTGGGGGCAATCATCAAATCAATCAGCCATCAGGCTCTTCTCCGTCCTTTGGGAGAAATGAAATAAAATGAACATGAGAGCGAAAACAAGACTATACTGAGTCTGAAAGAAAAGGAGCTCTACTTGAGAGAGAAAATGAGACCATGCCCAACCTGAGAGAGAAAATGAGACCACGCCCAACCTGAGAGAACGGAGACCATGCCCAACCTGAGCGAGAAAAGAGACCACGCCCAACCTGAGAGAGAAAAGAGACCATGCCCAACCTGAGCGAGAAAAGAGACCATGCCCAACCTGAGAGAGAAAATGAGACCACGCCCAACCTGAGAGAACGGAGACCATGCCCAACCTGAGCGAGAAAAGAGACCATGCCCAACCTGAGCGAGAAAAGAGACCACGCCCAACCTGAGAGAAAAGAGACCATGCCCAACCTGAGCGAGAAAAGAGACCACGCCCAACCTGAGAGAAAAGAGACCATGCCCAACCTGAGCGAGAAAAGAGACCACGCCCAACCTGAGAGAGAAAAGAGACCATGCCCAACCTGAGCGAGAAAAGAGACCACGCCCAACCTGAGAGAGAAAAGAGACCATGCCCAACCTGAGCGAGAAAAGAGACCATGCCCAACCTGAGAGAGAAAATGAGACCACGCCCAACCTGAGAGAACGGAGACCATGCCCAACCTGAGCGAGAAAAGAGACCATGCCCAACCTGAGCGAGAAAAGAGACCATGCCCAACCTGAGAGAAAAGAGACCATGCCCAACCTGAGCGAGAAAAGAGACCACGCCCAACCTGAGACAAAAGAGACCATGCCCAACCTGAGCGAGAAAAGAGACCATGCCCAACCTGAGAGAGAGAAAACGCCACAATACCCGACCTACCACCAACAAGGAGAAGAGAAGGTGTGCGTTGTGGGGGTCCGAGCCACTGGTGAAGGAGGTGTGGCAGTTGGGCGTGGTGAATGTCCCAGTAGAAGGTGAGTCTCAAGGGCACGTCCAAATGCACCACGTCTATGGTTTCATGGTACATGTTCCATCCCTTCTCGAAAATTAACTCGACGTCCCTCCACTCATCCTGTAGGTTTAGGACACCATATTAAAAAATAATAATAATAATAATAATAATAATAATAATAATAATAATAATAATAATAATAATAATAATAATAATAATAATAATAATAATAATACATAGTAATTAAAATGTTACGTTATTTTGATGTGTTAATTCGCAGGCTGAAAAGGTTATTTCCCAAATAATTCTTAACCAGAATTCTCGTATCCCATTTTCCCCCAAAAAGGAGTCTAAAAGTGAACCAGATGACCAAGATTAATAATCTATAGAATTGAATCCGATGAAAAATCAAAGGAAACCAATCAATATATATATATAATATCAAGTGCAGGAATAGGCTATTGACAGGTGGCATGAGGCTTTAAGAACAATCAGTTGGGTGGTAGGACAGTCCAGCTTGGTGGTACATAGTGAAAGATTTGCAAGGGTCTGCATATCTGATGCCGTGATACAGAATAAAATATAACGTGGTATGCCTTAGGGAATGGGAATAAACACTAGTATGTGGGATAATGCCGGGCTTCTCGCCTGCTAGATGGGACTGCTCTTTATCTTGTAGTGTTCCCTTCCCTTACTAATTGAGCTTGAAGCCACGATTGCCCGAATCGCTGTGCGTATTAGTGGCTTTAGACTTTATATGTAAGAACTCTATCTATAAATCCAACTTTATGTTTGTAACTCATCTTCTATATATGTACTTTTACCTGACTAAACATTTGAATTTGAATTTGACAATGAAGGACAGACAACAGGATATGGCTTACCCGCCGAATCCATAAATGTCAAAACGCAAGTACTTAAGGTCGTAATTACATACGTCTGCACTTATGCAGCTACCCAAGACTATATAAAGGTCAAAATCCAGCGGGAAAAATCCTTAGAAATAATGGGACGTTTGGCAAGCCGCAGATAAATTGATTTATATTCATTTAATATTGGAAAAAATATAAGCAGCCAGACGAGGAGTCACAATAATGTGGTTGACATATGTTGACCAAACCACACACTAGAAAGGGAAGGGACGACGACGTTTCGGTCCGTCCTGGACCATTCTCAAGTCGATTGTGAGAATGGTCCATTCTCACAATCCATTCCACAATCGACTTGAAAATGGTCCAGGACGGACCGAAACGTCGTCGTCCCTTCACCTTCTAGTGTGAGGTTTGGTCAACATAATCAGCCAGTAAAGGACTCACCTTCTCAAAGGAATTCAGTCGGTACTTGACCCTGGGACCAGCAATTCGCTTGACTAGGATCTCGAAGACGTTCCTTATGTGCGAGTCTCCCAGGAACACCCAGTGTTGACCTCCAGCTCCCTCGGCCTTCACGTGCAGTGCTTCTTCTGTTAGTGTTGCAACGGTCGGAGTTCCCGCTGCTTCTGATAGGCTGCTCCTGCGGAAGTGTTAATATGGTTGTCAACACATGATAGCCTCTGATTGATAAACACGCGCACCCTACCCTTCCCCCCAAGATACATAGATACATATATACTGCCACTATCTCCTCTTCTAACTTATGTTTAATTCTTCCATAATAAGATGTGCATACAGATGTAATGCTTACTTAATCTCCATGAAATTGGATCCTGCAGAGATGATAGGAACATGAAACTGCAGAAGGCCTATTAGCCCATGTAAGTTCCTATTTATATGCAAACAGTAAGTCGCAACAACGGGGCTGAAAATTAGACATATAATGCACACATTTGAAAATAAAGGTAGTGACGACGTTTCGATCCGTCCGCCAAAACTAATGCTTAGTGGGCACACTATCCAAGTGGCGTTGGTTCGTTAAAAAAAAACGTTTATGATGTGGATTCGACGTTGAATTGGTGAAACTCTGAATTGAATAGGCTCACACGGGGTTATATGTTTAAAGTGCGATTGCGACAATCTAGCGACCCCATGTCAATATGTCATAACCATTTGTGTCTAATCAATAGCACTTTTAGCATCGCAGTGATCTATGAACCTTTTGAGCACTAATGTGAGAGGAACAGCTTAATTAATGACTTTTGATACAAGAGAATAATTATGACTAACGAAGATAACCTTTGTGTTCCGACGTTCCCAGGACCGCTTCGTGTAGCGCACTCCAAGATGTTGCTCCCGTTGTCCCTAGCGTAGTCAACCATCCTGCAGCAGGTGTTGGTGGCCCGTAGTTCTCTGTACCGGTAGCATTTCACAGATAATGCCGCGGGTGCCTCCACTTTCCGGGTTCCCGGTACTCTTCCAGTACCGGGAATGAAACTCCAAGGTTCAGCTGGAGAGGAACGGCCATACTGACAAATGACTACGACACCAAAGCATAGAATTGCCGCTATTACTGACGGCCAGCAGCACCGCCTGTCTTCTGTCTTAAGAGGCATCGTGAGACGGGCAGCTGATACTTCTGAAACTTTGGATTGTGTTACATTGACAACATTTACCAACATAAGGTAATTCACTGGAGAATTACACAATGCCATCGAGATTTTCAGATTATGCCAAAGATTGTGCAGCATAAGTATTGCCGCAAGCAAAATCCATACTTAGCCATCATAACTATGTTGAAATATTTATTCTTCCTTGTAAAAGGAAGGTTCAGGTTAAACTAAACTGTTTAACATGTAATTTGTATATTCCGTCAAGACATGCAGAGGAGTCAACCAACTAAGCTATGAGCTAAATGAATATGAACCTGCTTGGAAAGCGAATAAATTTCTATATAAAGAAAATACGCCCGCAGCCCTTCCTGGGGTCGGCTGCGCGCGCATGGGATGGAGCATTTACAAGCAAGGCGTTGACTCTGCTCTCCCTTACGGGCTATTCATGCCCGTGTCACCTCTTGGGAGTGGTTTAATCTTTATCAATCAATCATCTTCTGCTCTCCCTTATTCTCTGTGACTGCTCAACTGGCTGGCAAGTGGGTCCAAGAAGCTCCAAGCAACAACCTTACTTAAATTACTTAAATTTTACTTGTAACTTTAATGTAACTTTTCTGCAATTTACTCATTACGAGTAATGAATATTTTTCACATATTTGGAGTTTGAAATTACGACATTTTATACCGAAAATATATATATGCCTAATGGTGAAAACTGCAATGGGTCATATTTTGCACAAACCCCCCTGCAGTTTTCAAAACATCTGAAATGTCGGAAATTTGACTACTGAGGGTGATTTTTGAGCCGAATTCTGACTCTTTGCCCCTATTTTCATTTTCAAAATTGCGACTTTTAATAACGCAAATATGCCAATTACTGAAAACGGCGATGGGTCATATTTTGCCGAAATCACCCTGCAGTTTTCAAAATATCTGAAATGTCGGAAATTTGACACCTTAACGTGATTTTTGAGCCGAATTCTGATTCCCCGCACCTATTTTCATTTTCAAATTACGACTTTTAACACCGAAAATATGTCAATTACTAAAAACGGAGATGGGTCATATTTTGCCCAAACCCCCCTGCAGTTTTCAAAATATCTGAAATGTCGGAAATTTGACTCCTGAGCGTGATTTTTGAGCCGAATTCTGACTCTCCGCACCTATTTTCATTTTTAAATTTCGAATTTTTATACCGAAAATATGCCAATTACTGAAAATGGTGAGGAGTCATATTTTGCCCAAACACCCTTGCACTTTTTAAAATATCTGAAATGTCGGAAATTTGAGTCCTGAGCGTGATTTTTGAGCTGAATTCTGACTTTCTGCACCTATTTTCATTTTCAAATTACGAATTTTTATAAAGAAAATATGCCAATAACTGAAAACGGCGATGGGTCATATATTGCGCAAACCCCCCTGCAGTTTTCAAAATATCTGAAATGTCGGAAATTTGACTCCTGAGCGTGATTTTTGAGCCGAATTCTGACTCTCCGCACCTATTTTCATTTTTAAATTTCGAATTTTTATACCGAAAATATGCCAATTACTGAAAATGGTGATGGGTCATATTTTGCCCAAACACCCTTGCAATTTTCAAAATATATGAAATGTCGGAAATTTGACTCCTGAGCGTGATTTTTGAACCGAATGCTGACTCCTTGCACCTATTTTCATTTTCAAATTACGACTTTTTATACCGAAAATATGCCATTTACAGAAAACGGCGATGAGTCACATTTTGCCCCCCCCCCCCTGCAGTTTTCAAAATACCAGAAACATTGGAAATGTGACTCATGATCGTTATTTTCGAGCCGAATTCTGACTCATTGCACATATTTGGAGTTTGAAATTACGACTTTTTATACCGAAAATATGCCAATTAGTGAAAAGGGCGATATATCACAATTTGCCCCTCACCCCTGCAGTTTTCACAATATCGTAAATATCGCAAATCTGCGATATTTCAGAGGGCGGTCACAAGACGAGTACCATTTCTGCGAATTATTATAAAGAGACATATATTATAATTAGTAATTATTTATAATATTTATTACTTTGTCTAATTTTTATTTAATTTCAGTTGCCCTTTTATAATATTCTCCATTTCGTATATTTCTATTTACTATGAATTTATAATAATTTATTATTATTAAAAGTTCCCATACCAGGCGTGCTTCCTTTAAGCTTAGAAAAGAAATGTCTGTAATCGTCAGACTGAATTATTTGCATTACTTATCGCACTAAAATGTGTACAAGTCTCCGAACTTGAAACATTAATTGTAAGTGATTCTGTATCATCTTTAATAGCATTCAACTCTTTAAGATACATTTGTAACATGCTCGTGTCTGATACTAGACATAAATACAACGAGATAATTAACTATGGTAACAGAGTTCATCTAATGTGGAATCCATCTCATGTTGGCCTCTGAATGCGTGATAGACCTGATGAGTTAACTGAAGAATCTGACTTCAAAGGAGTTGATTGTAACCTTCGATTACCTATAAGCAGTCAGAGAACAATAACACCAAGAACTTCAAGAAAACCTTATAGATCTGAGGCAAAGTGAAATTTAAACTTGTGATTCCATCTATCATGCGAGAAGAGCCGCACATCTATGGATCATCCAATAAAATCAGCAGACTCCTACTGCTCGGCTTAGACTAGGCTATAAGTATCTCTGAGAATTCTCATTACCTGCTGATGTAGACCTGACCAAATGTAAACTGTGTCAACAAAAATGACCTCGATATAAGTCTAACATGTACTCCATGTATATAAGCTGGCTGCCTGTCCCCTAGACACACGGAATTATTAAATTTTTAATATATATAGTTGCCACATTTAGAGTCCCATTCATCAATAATAATAATAATAATAATCTTTATTTAGGTAAGGTACATACATAAAGAGATTTACAAAGTTTGTTGGCTTTATAGATAGAGCTAGTACATACAATGCCTAAAGCCACTATTACGCAAAGCGTTTCGGGCAGAATCAGTACCAAGGTACCGCGCTGTACCTCGGTATTCCACCTTATATAGTACAGTTGTTCAGTGATCACTAGGATATGTCTTCATTACAAAACTCAGGGTATAATTTCTCAGTATAATTCAATGAGACGTAGTTCTGAAACATAGGTACTGTACCGCTCTTCTGTACCATACTAGGATCTGTAGTCCCACGTGGCTTCCACACCATGGTACAGTAAAAACAGGACCACATGTGAGTGCACCAAAATGGTACCACACTAAGGTGTACCTCTTCAGTACCAGAATTTATGTGAGGATCACTATTTCTGTAATGGCCTCGACGAGGAGAGGAAGGTACAGCTAAACGGTACCACAAGAGGGTACAGTTAAACGGTACCACACTAGTATGCAACTCTTCAGTACCACAATATAAGGTACAAATAAATAGTACCACAGGAAGGTTCAGCTAATCGACGGCACCACACAACAGCTCCTTAGTACCAGGGTAGTGGTGTACCCACACTAGGGTACAGCAATACGGCATTACACTAGAATACAGTTCACCAGTAAAGAAACAAAAGGTACAGCTTCACAATGTTCCTTATGTGGCTCAAATGTCTAGGCCACATTAAGCCTAGGCTACAGATGTTTCTCAGCGCACCCAACAAGGAGAGTCCTACACCACGGCGTCACCAACACACTAACACAGCTCATAGGAACTAGTTTTTCCTGGTAGGAAAAACTGAGCCGAAATTATTTGTATCAAATGCTGACTGGAAGGAAAAAAAGAGCGAGAAATATAAACCTGTTTATAGCCTATTTTAGGATTTACCGGTTCTCACATTTATTTTATTTATTTATTTATTTATTTATTTATTTATTTATTTATTTATTTATTTATTTATTTATTTATTTATTTGTTTGTATTTTTTTAACTTAGTTTTTTGACGCGCTGTACTCCCATTCTTATAATCCAGGGTAGCTGCATAATTGCAGGTGTACCTAAATGTGTTAATACAAAATTAAAAAATAAAGTTCTTGTTAATAAATAATTATTTATTTATTTATTTATGTTCAAGAAGATAAATCTCATTGTGAAAGTACATACATTGGATATTGAGTGTTAATTTTTTGAAAAGCAATATATATATAGCATTTCTGACAGCGGGACAGGTCCTTAAGCTAACTAATAAATGTAATAATAGATATTGTAAGGGAATTTGAGTTCAACATAATAACTACATTATAAATTGATAGAACATATTATATTGATGTTGTTGTTGTTTTAGATTTAACTACTCAGAACGATGTGTCCATGTAGCACGGGCTTTGGTGAGCCCGTAATATATACTGATGAAGTTGCATTTCTTAAGTACTAAATTGGGTGAGGGAGGGGGGGATGGGCAGCGAACTATCAGGGGGGGGGGAAAGCGCCGAGCCATTACGACTATATAGCACTGGGAAGGAGTCAGGAAAAGGACCCATTATCCTGATAATGATAATAAGGACCCTTTATCCTGATATCTTGTTCGGATAATGAGCATGATATGACACAAGATACAGTGTGAGGCTCACGATACAGTGTGAGTTAATAACATAAAGTGGGACACTATTAGGAATAAATTACTTACTATCGTATTTAAAGTAAAAACGCATAATATTTGACATGAATCTTATAGAAACTGGTAAAAAATATTTATAATTTAATATTTCCATGATTCAGCTCTTATGAAAATCATGAAGTTATTATTGTCAAATTTAATATACAACCCATCCTCGACTCAAGTCCATTACATTCAGTGGTCAACCCCACAGACGCATTCATAAATTTTAACATGCTGTTCATTCAAAACGGGAATTTTCTACAGTATAAATTAATATTATAATATATTAGCATACTGTGTATATATAGGCATAGGATAGGTTAGGTTAGGTGTTTAGGTTCTGTTGGCGATTATATGTATTTGTAGTACGTGGGTGAAGCATTTACAGCGTTGTGATTCGAACAAAATTCTTCAGTGAAGCACTTGTTCCGGATATGTTCGAACGTCAGCAGTTGTGAGCAGCCCGTCCTCCAAACAAAGATCCAAAAGTGATTCCATGCACCCGCCAAACCCCCTGTTTATGAATGAAAAACGGTTTACACACGACTCACAACTGCTGACGTTCGAACATATCCGGAACAAGTGCTTCACTGAAGAATTTTGTTCGAATCACAACGCTATAAATGCTTCACCCACGTACTACAAATACAAATAATCGCCAACAGAACCTAAACACCTAACCTAACCTATCCTATACCTATATATACACAATATGCTAATATATTATAATATTAATTTATACTGTAGAAAATTCCCGTTTTGAATGAACAGCATGTTAAAATTTATGAATGCGTCTGTGGGGTTGACCGCTGAATGTAATGGACTTGAGTCGAGGACGGGTTGTTGTGAGTCGTGTGTAAAACGCTTTTCATTCATAAACAGGGGGTTTGGCGAGTGCATGGAATCACTTTTGGGTCTTTGTTTGGAGGACGGGCTGCGACTACCTGTGAGTACCTGAAATAGTTGTTGCACCCATAGTTGTGTAGACCGTCACAATATTGACTAGTCGTGTTAACTAAATGTTAGGTTATTCGTTATTATTCTTTATATTATATGTATTTAGGCAAAAATCGCCGTGAGTGAGGTGGCAGCCACAAGGGTGACAGACGCACCCGCTAATGGGCCATTAGCACCCTAATGACCCATGCCCATGGTTCAGATAATGAGCATGATTCAGAATGGGGGAAGGAGAGGGGGCCCGTATGATGAATTTACCTGATGGCCACCCTCTCTAGTGGCCTCGAGGGGAAGAGGAAGACAGCGGCTTGTCAAAAGTGCCTCCTTCCCCCCATTTTCCTGAGGATTTTATTTATTTGGATTTTAAACTAAAGGAATGACGAACGATTCGGCATTTACGGCATCAGCGGGTAGGCGGTTCCATAGGTTTATAACTCTGGGGTGAAAAAGCATCTAGTTTGTGACCTACACCTATTTTCTGAAGCATCTATTTTCTTGTCCGAAATGCTGTGCGTATATGTGGCTTTAGGCATAGTATGTACTAGCTCTATTTAGAAATCCAACGTTGTTTCTAACTTATCTGGTAAATATGTACTTTTACCTAAATAAACATTAATTATTTTATCATTATTATTACATTTTGGTTCGTTGAGCTTGAAGCTACCCCTCCCCCCCCCCCCTTCCTCTTGTATGTGTTACATTTTTTTTTTATATATACAAGAGTTGTTACATTCTTGTACAGCCACTAGTACGCGTAGCGTTTCGGGCAAGTCCTTAATCCTACGGTCCCTGGAATACGATCCCCGCCGCGAAGAATCGTTGTTACATCCAAGTACACATTTTACTGTTGCGTTAAACAGAGGCTACAGTTAAGGATTTGCGCCCAGTAAATCCTCCCCGGCCAGGATACGAACCCATGACATAGCGCTCGCGGAACGCCAGGCGAGTGTCTTACCACTACACCACGGAGACTAAGTTGGACCTTTTAAAGAAGTGGTCTGGATTAACATCCTCCAACTTGTTCAGTGTTATAAAGGCTTCAGCTGTCATGTCTGATTTTCAGAGTTTGATTTTGATTTTGATCTTGATTTTCATGTCAGATTTTCAGAGCCACGAGATTTTCTCGTGGCTTTCAAACATTCGTGGTAAGACAGTTGACTCAGCTCTGGGATGATTTTTGTCACTGTGTTGAACATTCTCCACAGCAGAAAAGCAGATATGTCCTGTTGAAGGTCAGGCCTCCATATTACGATACAGTAGTCAAGATGGGAGCGCACCAGCGACTTAGACAGTTGGATAATCATTATTTTCCTTGAGGTCAAAGATTCGTTGGACTGTTTCTAAGATTTGGTTGTTTTATCTTACTGCAGCTCCCACGTTGTGCCACTTTCAATGATTGGTAGTAGTTGAAGTTCACAGTTGGTAGAGAAGACGGAGGTGGCGGCGTAGCTACACTAAGACGAAGGGGCAGCAGAAGACTGGGAAGAAAGGGTGGAGATACCAGTCAGTGAACCACGAGGAACACTCTTAGTTTGTGAACGCAGAAGACACGGAGCTGGTGGAGGTGTTGTGGTTTAAGGCCTGGAACCTATTTGGGGACTGGTGAAGGGAAGAGGGTGGGGAAGAGACGTGCGATCTAATGCACAAGCATACGTCATGTCGGAGAAACGGGTAAGATAGCAGACCTGACATCTTGCCTCGGGGAAAGATATACATTCACCATGGTTTAAGTCGAAGATGGTTTTATTCACATTTGTAGTGCATGCATGTGCGGGAGAAGACAGGATGGGCCTAACCCCAATTA